CAGTGGGGCTCCTTAGATAAAACACCCAATTCTCTTAAACGTAAACTAGTGACCACCCCTGGATCGTACAGTGCCAAACGTATGCGTTCACAGGCAATTATATCTAATAGAAAAACAAAACGATGTCTCACAGATCTCATGAATGCTTCAAAAGATGCCGAAGATATTGAAATATCGACAAAAAGACTGAAATTAGAAACTCATCCTGAAGAACTTGAACCAAAGTTGCTACCTGCAGGCATTAAACGTCATGGAGAGTGCCTCGAACAAAGTCCACCTAGAAACTGCCACGTAGAAGCATCCAACGACTGGTGCTATATGCCTAAAGCCGGTGCCTCTTTTATGACACCAACCAAAAATTACGAGAACAAACAGTGCAAAATATTATCACCTAAAGGCATGAAGCCTTTGTCTCCTACAACTTCACATAATTATACATCTCCAGTGCGAGTGTCGCCGACTAAAGTGAGAGTAATAAGTTTCACGACGCCCACTAAGAACCTGCCTAACTATGTGTTAGATGGGGAGGCGCCACACTTGAGACTCATGTCTCCAGTTAAGAAAAAAGACTCTACTACGGATTGGTTGACCCGCATGGGTCGCGAAAAAAAAGGAAAATGTCCGGAAGTCATGGAGAAATTAAGTGTTACTGCACCTCTTAGTCCCAAAGAAAATATTCCACAAAGAAGGAATTCCGTATCAGAAAAAACACCAAAATCTGGTAAGAAAAATAGAACATTATTGAAATATTTTAATGTAACTGTGAAAGAGAAATAAGCAAACATAGTATAAGTATATTGAAATGGACTGATTTGTTTGTTATGTTTAAGGGGGAGGAAGTACAAGTGATGTTACTCACAAGTTTTATAGTTGATGTGATGTATTTATCTTACATAGTTAATGATCGAGTTGTCTTGGCCCAAATTATTTATTAGATGCTAGTGATAATAAAAATATGTTCCTAATGTTAATCAAAAAATAGACCAGGAAAATCTCCATATGAACAAATTTTAGTGATGACAGACAAAGCTAAATGTTTTATTTTTTGACAAAATTTTATCCTCTGGTCACTGAAACAATGTTGTAACTTTGACTGCTGTAGTGTTGTAGTACTTGTGTATATTATGTGTAAGTTAGTTTGCTGGCTATACACGAAAACGTAGTTCAACAATGTTTATTAGTGGTAAGAAACTCCATTTGTATTATTAGTTTTGCATTTACAATATTATCGATAAGTAAATAAATCAATTTTCGAATTTAACTATTTCGTATCATTTACGGATGATGAGACAGTCAAAGATGTTAGACAATTCTTCGTATCTACCGCTACCTAGCTGAAGGTTACCATACACTATGGTCGATCTAAATTCTAGAATGTTTTCATTTCGACTGCTCGAATAATCGACGCGGTCTCGGTACACAAAACTGAGATGCGATGCGATGCCATTCCATGCGACAAGGCGTTTCCCAGGGTAACCATTCCTGCGACGACCGTCAACCGTACTAAACGTATTTTAACTCGTCGAGTACCGGTTTTGTAGACACCATTATAGAACAATAGGTTGCGGTCACCGGTGACCGCTTGGTGTATGACAGTTTAAATTAATAAAATTAAAAAACTGCGTTTAAAAAAACCGACTTCAAAAACGAATGACTAACGAAAAGTAAAACACCCCACCTACGTGTAAAGTTCTCATCAATACAAATTAATCAAACCCAAACACAAGGTAGCTACTGTTAAGCGTTGAGGAGTTCCCTCAACTGGCTCTCGGCTCCATCATCAGATCGGCTCCAGACTTTTATCAAATTGTAGTGGTTTTCAATACTTAATGAAAAAATTACCAAATGCCCTAGTCGCCCCTATAATTTTTAAAAGTTCCCCTCGGTTTCCCTGGTCTTCCATCATCCGATCCTGATTTCCTTATCATGGGACCATTCTGGAACTATCTCCTTTTCAACAAAAAAAGAATTCTTAAAATCGGTTCATAAACGACGGAGATATGGGCGAACAAACATAAAAAAAACCTCCTTTTTTTGAAGTCGGTTAAAAACTAGGTCGTGACATGGATCGTAAAAAATAAAAACTGCGTTTAATAAACCGACTTCAAAAAAGTAATAACAAACAAAAAGTCAAAACTAAAAAGCAAAAAATAACTATTATTAGTACTGATAGGTTACCCACCCAGTGATAGGTTAGAAGTCGGTGCCATAAGCTAAGTTCCATACAAAATTATTCATTAAAACCTTAATAGGCACCTAATTCACAATTTTGTGGACATTAAGTTATAACATTATGATATGAGCTTATGGCACCGACTTCTATCCTACCAGTGGGTGGGTAACCTATCACTATTAATAATAGTTATTTTTTGCTTTTTAGTTTTGACTTTTGTTTTTTATTAGTTTTTGGTTTTTTGAAGTCGGTTATTTAAACGCAGTTTTTATTTTATTATTTTATCATTTTCAGTGTAAAGCTACACATACCCGTTTTGTTACTTATAATCTACATATATAGGTGCAAAGTTCTAATCAATACAAATTATACAAGCCCAAACACAAGGTAGTTACAGTATAGTTGAGGAGTTCCCTCGACTGTCTGTCGGCTCCATCATCAGATCGACTCCAGACCCTTATCATGTAGTGTTTAAAAATCGTAATTGAAAAACATAACAGACGCATTACTCGCCCACTCAAACTCGCAATTGAATTTTCGAAAGTTCCCCTCGGTTTCTCTAGGATCCAATCATCAGATCCTGACCTCATGGAAATAAAACAATCAGCCGAACATAGTACCTCCTCCTTTTTTTGAAGTCGGTAAAAAGAAGCGAATCAATTCGCAAGTTCTTTCGATGCGTAGAGGAAGCTCGCACATTTTTGTCGATGCGACGGCGCATCGCAGTTTTGTGTACGAGCCCTAAATTCGTTGAATCAAAGTTGAACCATGACCATGCACTGCACGGCTACGCAGTTGGACGTTGGAAACAGCATAGAATGCTACTTACTCTCTCGTGGCTCTCCCAAGACTCACAGTCACACTCGTAACACAGTTACAATCGTAACTAACTGTCGAATTCAATCTTTCAGAGATTTAACACTAATTGATAAAACAGTTTATAAAAAATACAACTGTTTATTAATTTTGTCCACAATCAACGAAACTTAAATAAGTACTAATTTCTTGGTGTATCAGTAGAAATTAGAATGGTTGATAGTCGTAAGGTTGGCCGTATTCCAACTCGTACATGAGATGTGCGCGGGCGACACGGCCGGGGTAGCGCGTGACGAGGGATGTGTTGGAGCGCGTCGTGTCGGCGCTGTCGGCGCTGTCGGTGGCCGTGTCGGCGCTGTCGGCGCTGTCGGTGGTCGTGTCGGGGGTGTCGGCTGGCGAGTTGACGTGTCGCGGGTCCAGGCCGCGGCCGCAGTGCCGGTAGAGGTCGACGAAGCACACCGGAGCCGACGCGGATCCCTCCACCTGGGAAGGTGCTTTAGGAGACACTTCCTCCGCTTTCGGCGCAACTTTTTTCGATTTCTTCAGCATCACAAACGTAGGCGCTAACTGAGGCTTTCTAAGTGGTTTCCGCATAGCAATCAAACAATCCATTCTTTTCTTTTAAAATCGTCAAACCTATTGTAATTTTGACAGATAATTTATTTGACTACCAACCAAAGACCAATAGGTATGTAATTACTTCCCCTATACATACGAGTAGTACACTCTTTGGTAATTAGGTACTTATCTACATCCCTACATCTATGAATAGAGCAATTCTATGGAGTTATAGTTACAGCTCAAGGTACCAAAAACTAAAAGCCATTGTAAATAATACTATGTTCTTGTCTGGTGGTTGGTCTACTTTAGACATTTACCCTATTAATTACCCTCCAGCACCCAAATGTTTGCACGACTTCTATAAAATAAATAGGTACTAATTTATTCTTTGTAATGTATTCGTATGACTGCCTCGTGGTCGCAAGTGCGACTGCCGGGCAAGGCGTCTCGGTTTCGATTCCCAGGTCACTATGCCCGACCCGGAATCTGAGTTATTAATTAATCTATTAATAAATTAGATTAATTAAGATGAGATTATTTAATCTATATTATTATAGAACTACTGGGTTTAAAAAAATTCTCAGTCTAGAGCACGGACTCTGGAATTGTGCCGGGTATATGGCAATAGACTAGACCCTATTACACGGGACTCATAACATAAGTAGTGAAAAGTGGGTGTTACATTGTACAGTGGCATTAAAGGCCGTAGATAGTGTGCACCTCTGCCTACCTATGTTATATAATTTATTGCTAAAGTTTCTCTAAAGGGCAACAGCAATTCACAAAAGTTATCGGAATTGTCTTGATGTGTCTCACATCCTCTGGTGTTGCCATCACGCAATCCGTCTGCATTTGCTGATCTATCCCTTATTAAAAAGCTTTATAAACGAATATATATATATATATATACTTGAATTTAAGAAGCATTTTGCTTTGTACTGCTACGAGTTTAGTTCGGTTTATTCATTCCACCATTTTTTTTTCTATACTAGCTACATCCGCGCGGTTTCACACGCTCTGCTCAGCTCCTATTGGTCTTAGCGTGATGTTTTATAGCCTATAGCCATCATTGATAAATGCACTATCCGACACATAAAGAATTATTTAAATCAGACTTGTAGTTACAGAGATTAGCGCGTTCAAAAAAACAAAAAAACAAACTCCTCCGCTGTACCTATATAATAGTATAAGATTAATCAACTAACTACAATTAGAAACATGTTCAGAACTGTTGTTATGCCTCACGTGTGAGAATCGAACTCGTTACATGTTGCTCAGCAGATGGTCACCTAACCACTGCAGTAACATTCCAGTCTTAGCAAAAATGTTAAAAGTTACGATTCATTTAAGGTTCATATTTTAATCTTAGATCGTCAGGACAGAATATAATTTTAGTTTAATAAATAGGTAACGGACGTCACAAACACATGGGAATAATGAAACATTGATATAAGATGTGCTTTTGCTCACTCTTTATTACGCTTGTTAATATATAAAAACATAATATAAATTATTTTGTAAAATATCACCACTGATTGTTGCAAACAAGATGGCCGCGAGGTCCGGCCAGTGCGTCCAGTACGGCGCGCGATCTATCGGCGGCGGCGCCTGAACCACTCCACTGTTGCCCGCTCTACCGGACTAGTTATAAGCTATTATCCCCTAGAAAACCCATACAAAAATGTCCTTTATTCACATTATATTACTCTTATGGCACCAGCCCGGCAGAGCGGGCTCGCGGCGGGGCTCAGGGCCCGACTGTCGGCCGGCGCAGACAGTACGACTGGCAGCACTGGCGGACCCGCGGGCCGCAGCTGATGGCTCGATAACAAACAAAGTGTCAGTAACGAAACTATAGCAGAAATAAAAAATAACACAATTATAAAAGAAACGTCGTTAACAATAGAGCGGGCGCGGCGCGCCGCCGCCATACAATTTGTTATACCTACTACATCTAAGTCTGCACTTATACTACGTCACTTAACTCTATGTACATACAATATCTTTATCCAAGCGATTTTTAAAAAAAGTCTTAGTACTTTTTATCATATTAATTTGAAAATTTGTTAAATGTCTTTATCGTTAAATTCACTGACTCCACTCGCACCACATTAACTTTATTATGTTTCATTTTTTTTCGTTTTCGTTTTACAACACAATACAAATAACAGAATGTTTTAGCCCCGCTAAAAACTACTAACATAAGTATACAACTAGAGTACAACCGACATAACTTGTACGAACGACGAGCTGCGCCAGCGGGCAGCCGTCCTCATAGCAATTGACATTAAACTGGTAAAATATAACGAACGTACTCTAAGGAACCGCGCGCGGCCGGCCGGGGGGCGCGACTCACTCGCAATTCGAGATCAAAAACTCGAGGCCAAGTCCCACGACTACGTACAACGTACCTCTAGTAGCGGCCCGCCGCGGGCTGGACGGCGCGGCCGCTCGGATCAGTCCATTGAAATATCATTACAATACCATTTTATCACAATAGACAAATTAAAGTAATTTGGGCACAGCGTTACCCTAGCGATGGCCTCGTATAAACTTGTAGTTTCGTTGACATCATTAACTAAATATTCATTAAAAATCCCGCGTTCTGACAATCTAGTCAAGTATCAAACTGATGGATAAAACACAGTATTCAAAACGAGTAAATTCTTCGAAAAACAGTGTCGGCGGGCATCGCCGGCTGAGGTGCCAGTCTGCGGACACCTCCTAGTATCGTAAGTTTGTACTTTGATCATTATTAGAGTGCAATTTACAAAGGAACTGGATGTCGCAGGCCGCCCAGCCACGTGTCTACTGACTGACTGATTGACTGACTGATCGACCGACTGACTGACCCAGTGGCTCGGCGGCTCGGGCGAGCTTCAGGCTTCAGGTGGTGCAACACATGCTGTGAGAGGTCAGGCCGGACTATCTACTGGCCACCGCGCCCTGCGCCCCGCGGCACCACTCGGGGCGGCACTGGAGTACGGGACTTGTTCACTTCTTATTGCGCTAACGGGGACTGATACAGACATCTCACTAACACGTACAAGTGGGGCGCGGGGCGCACGTGGCTCGACACTGCGGGGCTACGGGCCGCCGGGGCCGGCGGGGACCTCGCGGGGCCGGCGGGGCCCGGGCCGGCCGGGGCGCCTGCGGGACCCGGCACGGCCGCGGGGCCCGACCCCCCGCACGCCAGTCCGTCGCGCCCGCACCTGCCAGCGACACCGCACCGACAAGCTGCAACGTACAACACATTATTTACTATAAAAATTTCAATACCAAGTACAAGAAAATCACTTGTAAAACTAAAGATTTGAAAAGGGGGTGATACAAGCCATTCCCCGGCTATGGCCCGCAGTGAGACGTACCGGCCCCTCACCAGCAGAACACGGACAGCTCCCCGCCGTGCGCGCCGCCCACCGCGCGCCACGACCGCACGCCGCCGCCCACCTTCAGCTGCGGACACACGGACCACTGTAATACCTACATCAACATTACACGGGACGTTCGCGGTTGGGTAGTAAATAATTGACAGCGAACTTAGGACCTTACTCGCTAAATGCGCCATCTGGTAAGCGCAAATATGGTAGCTAAGTATCTCATGGCCGCCCATGGCCCACTTTGTTGAGAAAGCCTACAAAATACGCATTAATCCTAAAAAAAGCAATTCAATCATTGTACATTGTACTGGCACTACACAGATAACTGTTCAGACTATAAAGTCTTGTCAGTGGTCGACTGGTTACTCTATTGTATGTTACAGTGTGTACAGTGACTGTATTGGGGGAAGGAAATTCCTTTGGGCAGGTCAGGCAGTTATCCTACCTGGCATATTTTGGCAGTGACGAATAAAGTCTTCAATAAAAATTAGATAAAATACGAGCTAAGTTTAAACAAACTAACCGACATAGGATTAAGTGTTTTTAATTATATCTTCCGTAAAACAGTGAAGTAGTACTGAAGCTACTTTTTATTTTGAAATTCCATAGGTTGGCAAAAGTTTTCAAACAACAAATCTGTACGCGAAAGCATCCTCCGCTTCCATTTAAGATCCTTTACCCTTAAAGCGAGTCGGTTGAAACGATTTCTCCACACAAGAAGTGGCATGTTTAAATCAAAACACTTCTTATTACTTGGTACGCTGCCCGGTAAAAAGTGTAATGCGTCCAGTTTTCATTCCACGTCTCGCCATATAGGGGGCGGCCATGTTTAGGCGGTCTGCGCGCGCAAGGAATGTCGTTCATTGATGCGTTCAACGAGGACACTGAATGAGCCGAGCTCGACCATTGAGTGCGTCTCGATTGGCCCTCACTGGCCCACACACCACATTATTAGCCTTACTACCATGTACCTCCATCACGCGTCATGTGTACGTTACTAGGACCACTGCCAAACTAAGTTATACTAATACTGTAAATACAATACTTTACGGAACTGCCATTGATAGACTATATTGTTAGTTAACCACTACATCAACGGTTATACATGATATGTTCTGCATAACCAGACATGAATATGATGTATTAAGAAAACTTCATGTAACTAGCACTTTGTGTGCATTAATTAGAGCAGTGCTCATTTATAATTTGGCACGCCTTGAATCAATACGTACTACATCCCGGATGTGGTTTGCCGCGGAACACTTGACGGTCAAGAGCTATCGAATTCGCTGCCGGCACAATATTAAGATACCTACATGCTTAGTGTGTGCAATACCTGCGGCACTTATTAATTATCTATTATTATATTGTTGAGTATGTTTGACAGTGCGTCAACAATCTTATTGTTTTGTTAGGCTACGTCGACTTGCCTTTTATTTAGTGCACACGTGCAATGTGGCCGTCTGATATGCAATCAGATATCTACTGGATATAATATACAATATGACATATACTTGAGTGTAATTTTGATGTCTGATGTGGAAAACATTCTCTTGTTATTGTATTCATAATTATTATACAAGGGTGTCGGCACTCAATGAACACATGATCCCAGCAGACATCTGCCCGGTTTCTGTGAGCTAGTGAAGTACGGCACAGATGCAAGTGCCCGCATGCTCGGGGTCAACAACCTACCGCCCGATAACAGCTTGATAACGTATCACCAAAGGTGCAACCAGCTCATGTCCATAATAAAGCATATGTTTTACTATTTCATAACGAAAATACTTCGAAGGAAATAAATCAGACTACAATACCAGGACACAATGTAAATGATATCTTGGTGTGCAGCTATTCCAAAATCGTTCAATAATAAAACAATAAATTCCATGTACAATATCTGATAATGTGTTGACTTATGACGAAAGATGTCCCGACGAAGAATCAATTATATCAGCAATGCAAATCAATAGCTTCTGTTAGCCTTGAGAGAACGACGCCTGATCGATACGTCATGAATTTGAGTAACAAAAATAAATCATCTTTTTTAGAGAGGAACAATTTAGCTCAGAAATTGATGATGCACAATATATCTGATGGTGTCTCTGCAAGTGAAAAAGAAATATCATTGTTGAAAGAGATGTCATATTTGAGAATGAGAGCTTTTTTTAAACATTGATAGATTGTATAGAAAACACATGAAAATATAGTTAAATTGGCGAGGGTGAGGGAGGCTTCCACATCGCGCATCGTTCGCGAGTGTCGAGCGTGGGAACAGTGCAGTCTGAGCCGAGCTCCACACGTGCGGCCACCACGCGGCGCCGGGTGACATCACTACGCTGGCGTCTCATACCGTCTACTCTAACAAAGATGGAGCTGCTCGTGTCATCGGATTATTTGATTATGCCATTTTATTAGCTTTTACTTTATTCTTATATCATTTGTTGCAGTACGATGTATTTTTAAAGTACATAGACCAATGGCATTCATTGTAATCAAGTTCACAGGTAAAAGATTTAAAGTTACCTCATTACTCTCACTTAGCGAATGACGTTATTTTATTTCCTCTTAGCGAGTCTCGGATTTATTAAATAACTGTAGAGCAAGATTCAAGCTCAAGAGATCTTGTTTACAGTGCACAAATTAGCGACACTATTATTTATAATAAAATTTATTAAAGCTAAACTTTCTTTTACATTTGTTTAAACACGATAATCTGGACTAATTCCTCGTTCAAAGATTTTTAAGAACAACACGGCTGAAGTCTTGTGGAAAGTAAAAATTTCTTTCGCCTTCGAATTGAACGGATACTTGCTAAAAAAGTTCGGCCATGATTTTATGAAACTCTTGTTTCTACGCTCATTTCTAACTTCACGCCAAGCCACAACGAGACGTGTGCTACAAATACAAATCAAAACACTAGCAGTCCGCGATCCAGTTATAGATTTAAAATTATTCATAGCTTTATTCAAATAAGCGGGCGGACTGGCCATACGGGCCAGTGGAGCCGGCCGACAGGCTCCATCTGCAGGCGTCCACTAATCTCCGCACAATCATGATAAAGATAAAAAAACTATTGCCACTACTGTTAACTGTTCTCTAGTTTCCCGAGCAGAACTAACCATCGCCGGCGAGCTGTAACTGCTGTGACTAAATAATAACTATCTGCAATCGACTTCGTGTCTCACATTTGCGTTCGAAATTAGTCATGGTGAAGTTTTGGAGAAGATTACCCTACAGCTTTCGTGCTCCTGACTACTTATGGGAATCACTAGTAGGTACCTATGTGTTAAATATTTGATCGTTTAAAGTCGACATCGTCGAAACAGTTTATAAGGCCAAAAACCGGCAGTTGACTGAGAAGCCTTAGATCATCTACACAACGCCTGGCGGCTACCAAAAACCAGTTGTGAATTAGAAGTACCAGAGTCATTGCATGTACCTGCTGCATTTTGTCGAAATCGAGCGCGGGCCGATGGCGGCGCGGCGGCGGCAGCGGCAGGCGCCGGCGGCGCGGCGACA